ATTTATACTAAATCTTACTTTTCCTACACTAGCTACTTTTAACACTAGGAAGATGGAAATACTATCAAATTTTAAATAGCACCTTTCATTAGTGAAGCAACATACCTCGTAGATTTAAAGAGTGAGACTCAGCTGCAGTTTAGGACACTTAGATTTAATTCTCAGAAAAACAATTCTGTAAACTTATGGCAACAAACTAATAAAAAAATATTCTACAGAAGAAAACTACTGTAGAGAACTTTGCGATCAATCTTAGTGGAGGCCCTCAAAGTGTCGTAGAAGTTCCTTAAAGAAACAAAATTTAAAGCAGGTAAGATATGGATGCCTCACATAAAAATGTAATGTTTTCATTATGATCTGCTGTATGTATTTTGTCTCAACAAGCCGTAGTCTATACTTTTATTCCTCATCTTAGTAAAAACTGTTTATTTCCTAGTTCGAGATATTCTTTATATTTGAAACCACTATCACTGAAATAATATCTCAAAACATGACTCATGGCAAAAAAAGGTAGCAATTTCAGACCCAAGTGCAAGTTTATCTCAAATGCACATGATGTTACAATCAAACTGTAGATATTTCCACTGCTGTGACTTATTTAACAAAACATTTCTGCTTCATTGAAGCAAAGAATGCGTTTATTTCCTGGAACATGTAGAAGCTACTTTCCCAAGTACCACATAGAATGGTATCCTGTTCCCATCCTGTCCCCTCCCAGCTTGCCTTGCGCCTCACTTTATGTCATGAAGACAAGTAGAAGTAGTCCTGGAGAAGGAAGAATAAGTTTTTACTGTGTAAAAAAATAAAAATAAAATCATTTTGCCGATAATTAAAAAAAAAAAAAAAAGGACAAGGCTGTTCCTTTGGTGGTGCTTTGGCTGTAGAATGCTCTTGGTGCCTAGGTGTTAGTTTCCTCTCTTCCTTGACTCTTGTCACTTATTCCAATTTAACCATTTGGACAGTCAAATTCTAGACTGAATTTCCACATAACGGGATTACCACTGGCTGTAGATTAGTCCAGAAAGGAACAGTAATGTGGAAGTACTAGGAAATATTTTTTTAATACAGCTTAAAAAAGTTCAACATCACAGGTTCTTCTGCTTAGTAGAAAGCCTGTCCAGAGGTGTTCTGGTTTTGACTGGCACAGTTTTTCTTAAAGGATTCTGGTGCTCTGGCAGGGGGATCGGACTAGATGATCCTTTGAGGTCCCTTCCAATCCCTAACATTCTGTGATTCTGTGACTCTGATGCTGTTCTCCATTTTGAATTGAAAAATACAACAGGAACCACTTGTAGGACTAGCTGACATAACCAAGCTGATAAAATAATTCTATTGCTTTAATGTCAATCTGTCATCTTCTTATGACCAAAAAAAGATAACGGGTATGGTTTCTACTGTTTTTTGTTTATTTGCTAAGACAGACTAACAGAAAAGATAACGCTTGCTGATGGTATCTTTGGAAAATCTTCTGCTCCTTAACCCAGCCTTTCCCACGTCTCCTTCACTTGTGCCACCAAAAGTGTTTAGGGGGTTAACAAATTCATCAGGTTTAAAAATAACCTTATGAAGGTAGTTATTTTAATTCTTTTTATATCATGGATAGACTCACAATTTAGCGTAGCGAAGAGTTTCATTAGCAGTTTATGCATAACCACTGGGGCAGCGTAACACTGGCCTAAGGAGATAGGAGAGAGACCTATGCAAGCCTAAATTGGTGCCAAGAATAAAGAATCATTGAACCGTATCTACGGCACTGTTTCTCCGCTGAACAGATACCATTTTGGGACAGTCTATGCTATCTTCCATTCAGAAATTACATGTTTAATTGATTGGGTTTTCACGCTAGTTCCCAGTTCAAAGTACTCCTTTTCTGTCATTCAGTTGGAAAAAAAAAAAAAAAAAGTCTCAGCTGAGAAAAATGTCTTCAGTTTACAAAGTGAACATAAATAAAAGTAATTTTAAAAACATGCTTTCACTTCTAATCCAATGTTTAGATGCTGACTCTATATATAGGATTGGTTTTACAGTTTATTTACCTGAACTAAACAAATTAAAATATAACCATATCATTGTGTATTTAATTTTCTGACATCCTAAAAACACACATAAGTCATTGTGTCCCCTTTAAGATTTACACAAAGGTGATAGCTATTCTCCTGGCCTCTAATACTCTCTTTACTTGTTCATTATAGAATCCTTTCAACTTTGCCTCTAGCAATTCACAAACTCATTTTTCCATGAGTAAATATTTAAACCAGATCTGTTTTAAAATGTCTACAGAAAGAAAGAAGATAAAAGCAAGTATTTAGATTTATAGCTAACTGGGTAATAATCAACTGCTACTAGTGCTGAAAGAACTTCATCCATGTCCTGGCTCTAACATGAACCTTCAGTCCAGATAGGGGGCTGTGAGCCTTTGTGCCCTTATGGTAATGTTCTTAAGCAAACAAAAGATTGCCATACACCTCACAGGACAATTAATTCATTGAAACAGGACATTTAAAGTTTTCCTTTTCATCTGTAATACAAGAGTTAGCTGCACTAATATTTGACTTTCTGTTTCACAGTGGAAAGAAAGAAGGATAAGAAAGGCAGAGAATTAGATCATTGATAACTTGCCCTATACACCTAATAGTCTGGCTCGATTTATCTTCAAGTAATGCAGTCTTAAACATCTCAACTTATCAAAATACATTCATTATTGAAATAAACAGCACATTTTCAGCATTAGGTGGAAAAAGCTTGCTTTCACACACCTTTATTTATGCTTCCTTATAGAATCATGGTTTTGACTTCGTCTTAAAACTGAGATATTTCTACCTATCAGATGTTTATTAAAACTCTAACAGATATCAGTTATTTACCTACTATTGCGGGAATCACTTCCTAGGATGCTGTGAGGAAGGCACGTACACTCTCCTAAACTGAGACACTTTATGTTTGAGACCTGAAGAACCAATACACAAATCCTAAACAAAAGTTTTCTGAAAACCACAGTGACATATGGTAATCATACTTCATGGTAGGATGGCCGTTATTTAAGATTTTAATGGTTGGTTAGTACGTAAATAAAGAACATTTTAATGATTTCAAACTTTTTATTATTGCATCTGTAAAAGCTGCAATTACTTGCAAATTCTCACAACTTGCCACCAGAAATATGAAAACCAAGCGATTGTTAACACTTCTGTTATTTCGTCAAAGACTTTGTCACAGATTAGAGAACAAAAATGTCTCTAATTTGAATTTACCATTGCAGCTTGTGCCAGAGAAAATGCTCTTCTCCATGGAGTTGTCTGTTACCCACTTAAAATTAGTAGTAGCTTCCTAAGGGTTCAGTTTAGGATCCAAGCTTAGGTTCAATTAAAAAAGCTAAAGCACTATAAACTAAATAATTCCGAGTTATTTCAGAAGACTTGGTAACCATTCTTTCACCATTTTTTAAAAATCAAAGTTTGTGATTTTGGAAAAGATACTGCGCATATGAGTCACTAACTACAGTCAAAGCCGAAAGGTAAGTGAGGCAATTTCTTCTTCCCTGTCCTCTATTGCACCAGAAAGCAGAATTCATGTTTGAATAGCATGCCTTCTTAGAAGAAGGGAACGAAGAAGAGGAAAAACTGCATAAAATGAATTTATGACTTAGAGTCCTAGATGGACTTATTCACAGGCAGGAGTTACTCCTGCAAACACTGTAACTCATTTGACTTATTTTTTTTTTACAGAAATTTGATTTACTACTTTTCAGTGTTGCAATCTTTAATAAGAATTAAATTATTCTGATTCAGAGGTATGTAATGAAATTCTCTCAAACCATAAGAGAAATGGACAGGAAGCCACATCTATAAAAACTTTTACTATTAAAGACACTGTCCTAAGAATCTAGTTCTGTAAGTTTATTCCCCAAAAGGCACTAAAACTAGAATGGAAGCAAACCAAGAAAGTTTAGTTCATTTGAAAAAAAGACTGTCTATGCAATATATGAAATGCTAAAGAATCCTTACTTCATTAAATTTAATAAAACATAAAATTATTTAAAAGCATGATTTTAATGCACAATAGGATATACTTTGTTATATTTTGATTTAGCACAACTGAAAAAAAGAAAGAACATTTATAAAGAAACAGGGTGTCCTTATTAAAGCAGCATGAGGCATTTCAAGAACTTGACAACTCATTATTTCTATAAACAACTATTTCTGTTTGAAAAAGGGAAAAAAAAAAATCTCAAAACATAACTTCACCATTACAGAAACAAAAAAATAAATCCAAGGTTTTCCACAAAATTATGTTGAATCAATTTTATTTTTCATATAGTAGACAGCAACAAATGCAACAGAATAACTCACTCCTTTTATTGGATGAAAAACTTGATGAGATGTAGACCATCAACACTCTTGGAAGAGGTTGTAAAACGGCTTCTGTTGCAGAATAAAGAAGTTCTCTCCTTTTAAAGAAATTCTAATCCTCTCATTGGCCAAAAACAGAGAAACTGATTACTCATTTCCTTCTTAATATATATAATACTATAAAGATATTTATCTATATTGTTCTTTTTCACTGTAACCTTAGTACAAAAGTTATTTTTAAAGGTATCAACAAATTAGCCTTTTTTGGGTGTCAGGAAAGAATTCATACTCACTGAGGCCTACCTGACAGTAGGCAGAGGGTCTAGGAAGACTGCCTTTCTTTAGGCATTAACACAAAACAGAAATTAAAATTAATATGACAACATCAGAAGTGAAGTCAAGACTCCCTTAACATGTGGTATGACAGGAATGTTTATCCTCAAGTGACTGGTCATATGAGGAAATTTGCAATGATACTGCTGGACCTGCTGAAATGTATTAACAAAATCATTTACTAACAAGAAAACAAGCCTTTAAAAGAATTCTTCATAACTGTGACTGTTATTTCTTGCCAAGCTTTCACGTTAAAATAGAAAACATTCTAAAGCAAAAATGTTAATCCCATTCCAACCGGAGGAAAATAGCACTTACAGTGAGGCTCATAGGGAGGAGGAGGATCACCACAAGGAACACACTCCATGTCTTGAAAGCCTCCAAGCTTAGTCTTCCTATAAAATCTAGAAGATAAAGGAAAGAAAAAACAGTTAATCAAAATCAGTTATTTTTCCTCACAAAATTCATTAAGTGTTTTAACAAAATCCTCTGCAACTGCAAACTTGTGTCAATCTGTGTCCCAATGCAAACTATCAGGATATAGAAGAAAATAAAAGTAAACAAAAGTACAGTAGGTATTAATTAATAGTACAGCACTAGAGCTAAAGTAACTTGAGGAAAAATTCTAAATCTGTTAGTCCAAATGCATATTCACTATAATCTTATATTCACACAAGAAAAACAATTCTGTTGATTTCAGACAGAAATCAATATCCCGTTTTCCACATAGATCACAACATACAAGACAAGACTGATGAACTTACATTATGCAAGCTTATTTGCACATTTAAAAAATAAAAGTGAACTGATTAATCTATATAACTCTCCTAAAAGAAACAAGATACTACAAGGTAATTATCACCACTAACAGTATATAATGGACCAGACGTCAATGCTTTCTAGTTGAAATCCCTAAGACATCCTCTAGCTCAGAGGAGGAAAAATCACTCAAATTAATTTATGTACTTGTACAGGAGTGCATTGTCATCCCCTCCTCCCCCCCCAAAAAAGTTTTAACATGTAAAAAAAATGTGACAAAAATCAGAAAATAAGATTTTCTGATTCTTTTGTAGAACGGTAAAAATGGCTTTTCAGAACAGTATTTTAACAAACCAACAATCCTTCTCTGACTCTTCCTTCTCCTCTAGGAAGATCTTCACCACCAACCAAAATCACAACATGCATGGACTGTGAATGCAAATCAACAAAGCAACCACCCAAGTCCCAGTCTACACTATCCAATTCTCCACTTTCTTTCCATATTCTCATTTAAATGTATACTTTAAAAATTCTAGATACAAACGTTTCAAGGTATGAAAAAATAGATATTGCAAACAGAAGTATCAGTCAGATGGCTTAGATAAGTAATAGCAATGGGAGACCTCAAACAGTAACAGGTGAACAATAAAACAAAACTAAAACAAACTAACCAGTCAGCTACTCATTCCTAATGAAATTCATGCAAAAACATAAAGAAAAAAAATATAAATTGTTGTCATACCCAAGGAGACATTTTATTCTAAAGACCCTTCAAGAACTTTACTATTGAGTTTATGTTTGAAGAGCTTACTGACTACAGTGACAGGCAGAAGCCGACATTCCTAAACCAGGGAACAAGAGTAGCACCAAAAGAAAAAACAGAACTTCAGAGTGTCATATTTCAAATTTGTATGAGAGCATGGCATTTTCTAAAGAACTTATCTATAACAGCTCCCTAATCAAGCAGGTCTGTCTCTCTTTCAATCGGTTGTCAGTACTAAGCAGACCAACAGCTGTCGTCTGTTCAAGACGAGTACCTGAATTAAGCGTTTTCTGTAGTGGTAGTGGCACATTAAATGAAAGGCAGTAACTCTTCTGCTGTTAAATTACTAACACTGCAAATGCCATTAAAGTATGAAGACTGTATCAGCTGAAGCAAACAGCTTTCCAACTGAAAGAAACTCACCCTTGAACAACGTGAACAGAAACAGATTCACAGGCTGTAAGACTGAAGGGGCCACTGTGATCATTTACTCTGAACAAAGCGTGTTAACGCTTGTTTTCAGCTGACATGCTTACTGCAGTGTTTTGAAGCTGAACAGTAGGGAATGGCATGCAGGAAACCCATGCAAACCAGAAATAAATATGATTGCTGAGAGGTAAAACATTAGCTAAACCCTTTGGTTTGGCTAGCTGTATCTTCCCTTCACTTAGGCAGCATCCAAACTGATGGACAGGTATGAGTGGTGGCATGTTCTACAGTTCTGCTCTCCAAAGCGTTCAGACCAGATGACCTATGACTCTTCCAGCCATGACTCCTTTCCTCCTTGTGTTTCCAACTTTGCTGTGAGTGAAAGCAGGTTGTGGAAACAGCTCTCATTTTAACATGTACTCATGTTAACATACATATCTAGAATACATTCTAGACCAGAATATTGAGAGAAGCATTCTCAGGTCCTTCAGTTTAGATTTACCCTTAATTAATGTTTTAATCTGAATTCTTTTTTGTTGCTTTCTTGTCTTCCAAAATTCAGCTTATATTGTTTACACCACAAGAAGAAAACCTTCTCCTTGCTGACAGTCAAATAAGCCCTACATATGCAATAAGAACATAAATTAATCCAGGTAGCAACAAAAGTGGTTGTGAGTAACATCTAACATCTGGGGCTGCACCTCCTCATACTGTGACTTAAACTAACATTAGCTACCAAAGCTTTACTAAGTGTTTTTAAACGGAAAGACCTCATGTGATCTGATCTAGGTGGTCCTGCTCCAGCAGGAGGATTGGACTAGATGATCCTTTGAGGTCCCTTCCAATCCCTAACATTCTGTGATTCTGTGATTTCTGGCTTGAGAGGAATAACTGTAGGAACTTCAAAAGTGTTCAGGTATTTGATAGCTGATTTAAAAAAAAAAAAAAAGCATATCAATAAAAATAAAATAAAATGGCTGAGATACATATAGGAAACAAATGCATGAACTTTTAAGCACCTCTGAAATATATACCTTGAAAATACAAAGACTGTTACAATTGCAAATCAGTTCTCATAACCCACTCCTATCAATTAAACTACCAATCCATAGTTCAAAAAAGCATTAGAAATGCCTTTTAACAAATTTATGACAGTATTTATAATTGTGGAACTTGGCCGCAATGTAAAGAATAGTCTTTCAGAGATCTTAATTCTACAAACAGAGAAGATTAGCTACAGAAATCTAGGATTACTGGACAAACTAAGCACAGGTCTTGATTTGTAACAGCAGTTTGAGTGAGTCTCAACACTGTTATAATTTGTTCCAAAACAATTCTTTTAGATCCATTTAGGATTCTCAGCCAGAATCACACTCTATGAATTTACCAATATGCCAAAAGAAATTAAGAAGCATAAACCACAGCTGCTACTTTTGACCTGAAAATATATATGCATGAGAATTATTAGGCATTGACCTAAGGAGGGAGAAAAAGCAAGCAAACAACGTGATCAATCTTTAAGAAGGTGACTATGTATTAGAATTTCCATTAAACATTAATGGAATTTAATTTGGAAATTAAACACTTGCAAATGTTTAATTCTTTATAACAACGAAGTCACCCACCAGTAACACTCAATGTTTTAAAGTATTTTTCTCAGGTGCTGTATAGACAATACTCTCATAGATCGAGTAGGTAATTATCAAACGATTTTTATAGATGAGATAACCAAGACTGCAAATCTGAAATTATGTGCTCAGATCATACAGTAAATTGTTGGCAAGGCCAAGATTAGAACCTTAGAACCTAGGACCTTCATACATACAAAAAGGATACAAACATTTATCTGGAAAACATGAACAAGCAAATGTTAACGCAAATTAAGTTTTGAAAAGTGTCATCTTCAGAAAGGGACTTACCCTGGTAAACAGTCTCCACATAGTGCATTGCTGGTGGCAGAACAGTTGGCCTTCTGAAACCGGTTAACTAATGCACAATCCAGACAAGGCTTGCACTTCTGAAAGCCCCAGTCTTCCTTGAATCTGTTTGGCCTGCATGTCATGCAC